GCAGACGGCTGTCGTGGTATGCTTATAACATTCACCACCACCCTTCCTCGCTTCCGGGAGGGTAGCCTTTTCCATTGTTTCTGGGCGCAAAAAAAACACTAATCGGGTCATTAGCTTTTGAGTTATCAATGAGTAAACAAGCCAATCGGGAAGAAAGTAGCCACTATGGAGAAAATTGAATATCGCGCCGTCATTAAATTTCTCACCAAACAAGGAAAGACACCTCAAACCATTTTTCAAGAGATGTCAGCTGTTTATGGGGACTCCGCTCTTGGGAAAACCATGATTTATAAATGGCACACCCTTTTCAAACAAGGGAGGGACTCCATCGAAGTCGACCCCCGACCTGGACGGCCGATTGAGGCTACCACGCCAGAAATAATCGAAAAAGTTGAAAAACTTGTATCGGAAGATGCCCGGCTAAAGAAAAAAATAGCTTGCAGCATTCGTTGGAGTATCAGAAACAACCATTTTAAACATTCTACTACAACACCTTGGCATGACTAAGGTCTGTGCAAGATGGGTTCCGAGAATGCTTTCTGCGCATCAAAAACACGAGCGCGTCGAAAGTTGTCGCGAGTTTTTGGACCGCTGTGGAGAGCAAAGAGAGAAAGTTATGGCCGAATTGTAACTGGCGATGAAAATTGGGTTCACCATTATGAACCTGAGTCAAAGCAAGAGTCGATGCAGTGGCATAAAAAAGGCACACCCCCTCCTAAGAAGTATAAGGTGTCTCCATCGGCCGGAAAGATCTTGGCGACGATCTTTCGGGATACAGAAGGTATCCTTTTGATTAATTATAAGGAACGTGGTGTTTCCATAACGGGAGAATACTACGCTTCTTTACTAGATCAATTAAAAGAAGCTATTAAAGAAAAAGGGCGAGGAAAGCTTACAAAAGGCGTGCTCCTTTTGCACGACAATGCACCCGTGCACACAAGCCATGTTGCGTTGGCTGCCATTCACCGGTGCGGTTTTGAACAACTGCGCCACCCACCCTACAACCCAGAGCTAGCCCCAAGCGACTATTATTTGTTACCAAAAATGAAGAAAGAACTGCGCCGGAAAAAATTTGGTGACGATGATGAAGTGAAGTCGGCAATTTCGGCCTATTTTGACTTGCTAGGAGAAATCTTTTTTTTTAGATGGTATTAATAAGTTATTTGACAGATCTAATAAATGTATTAGGGTTAAGGGAGAATACATTGAAAAGGAAAAATAGTTTAAAGTATCATTTCATTATCCTTCCTTGTCATTCCGCGAACGTTTTGACCTCCCCTCGTATAATATAATAATATTTATAATATACAAAAACAGCCTATCTTACAAATCGTTCAGCCCTACTCTAATTTCAAAAGCCAATCTCAAAAACTAACAGGGTTTTGGATCTTCACCTTTTTAAAGTATTTTTAAATTCTCGGTTATTCAAGATTCCTATGTCCACCATTAAGCGCTAAAATTGTAATTAACCATTTCCGTGGTGCCAACGGGCAGGGATCAAAATCATATGTAATTTTAGCATAGACTAGCATTACCACACATGCCAACACTTCATTTGTTAAATTAAATAGGTTAACGTCAACGGAACACGATTTATTTTATTTATGTTTGAAGCTAAATTATCTTGATCAAACGTCAATCAACACTCAATAGTATTTTGTTAGTGTAATGACCTGCGGTTCCGTTATCGGGTAATAATTTACGAAGAAGCATTCAAGTAATGAAAAAAATAAATAAAATTTGCATTAGTTCATTCATTCGATGGTTCTCTGACAATCACGTAGTTAGTGGCAGCAGGACTGTAGACTCCAAGTACAAGACATTTCAACTGAAGATTCTACTCTTTTAGACGTTTTAGAAATAAACATTTAGTTTGTCAAACATCGCAGTGGTGGCTCAGGGGTTAAACATGAAGCGATAAAGAAAAAAAAACATACGTGTTTGAGAAATTAAAAATATATCGGGGATTTGAGAAATGTGCCAACCAACACGCATTAGGTTCGCGCAGGTGACACTTCCCAGCTCTCCCAACATTAAAACTCTCGGAAATTAGACCTAGCAGAAGACATAAATAAGTCAGTTACTTTCTAGGAGTAAAGTCAAAATATCAAACGTCAATCTGTTACCAAACTTTTTTTTATAGGTATCTGTCTTAGTATTGTCTGTACTAGTCATCTATGGAGGTGTTCCTCTGATTGTAAAAGATACGGCTAAAAAATCAACCGGTATTGTTTTTCGGATCATTCTTAACGATATGCCGTTTAATTATCATTTTTTAACCAATAAAGTTCATAAAGTATTTTATATGATACGAAAGTAGTTGGCGGTAAGCAACTGAAGCATGGTCTATGATATGAGTTTATTATTGTATTCGAAGCAGCATTGTCATTTCTATAAAACCACAGAATATATAATAATACAAGAACTAGATAGAACAGGGTGAGACGGATAAAATAAATATAAAAATGGCAGATAATAAAAATCTCACCTCTGAACACAGGCCTCTATCATATTGAAATGGTATGAAAAAGAAATGAATTTTTCGAGGTATGAAATGGAAATGTTTACAGAGGAGGGGGTCACATACTTCTGAACAGGTGCTGTTTGTAGGCTAGTCTGTTTGGGTTTTCGCTGCACATACGATCTTCAAATTTTTTTTAAGCGGTAGTACTACCGTTTAAAAAGTTTTTTTTTAAGAATGACGTTTGAATAATAATTATCCTTCGTCCTCTGACGAGGGAAAACAGCGAAAGAAACTGCGCAGGTATTCTTTTTTGTAATTTTTATAGGCGGCATAAATCTGTAGTTTATATAAATTAAAAGGTAAACACTCATAGGCATGTAAATGTTAAAGGGAAATGGACGATTCGTCTCCCGACTCTACCACATGTAGACCTTTTGGGGAACACGTCATGAGCATGAAAGAGAGTAGTCCCTTTTGCTATTCTAATGCAGGCGTCTTCAAACTTTTAACTTTTAAGGTAATAAACACTCACCAAATCCCTTTTATTATATGGAACCACACATCAAATGATTATATGTCATAGACGAAGCAATTGAAATCTATACAGATAAATAAAATTGAAGTGTCTGTTTGTAATGTTAAAATAACAGCTTTTTACTAAATGCATATGAAAGTATGAGCCGTGGTAGCTCAGATGGTTAGCGCTCGCTGTAAGCTTCACAGTACTCGAGTAACCCGGGTTCGATCCCCGCCGGCACCAATGAAATTCTTAATTGCAATTTTAAGTGCTGGTTTACTACGTGCTCGGCGGTGAAGGAAAACATCGTGAGGAAACCTGCATGTCTGAGAAATATTTAAAAAAAATATTTCGAAGACATGTGAAGTTCGCCAACACGCATTAGGGCAGCGCGGTGGACAATTCCTTGCCCTAAAACCCTCTCAGAAATGAGAGGAGGCCTGTGCCCAGCAGTGGGACGTAAATAGGTTGCAACTTTACTTTACTATATGAAAGTATATACGATAGTTATAACAAAAACATAATTTTTAAAATTTTTGTCTGTTTGTTCCGGCTAATCTCCGAAACGGCTAGACCGATTTCGACGGGACTTTCACTGGCAGATAGCTGATGTTATAAGGAGTAACTTAGGCTACTTATATTTAAGAATAAGAATTAGGGTTCCGCGCAACATAATTAAAAGCCTAAATTACACGCGGGCGAAGTCGCGGGGAACAGCTAGTTTTATAATATAATTCTCGCTAACTACCTACGTACCTACCTACATAACAGTAATGGGTTCTTCTCATCACATATTGCGCATTTAAAAACAATATCTGTACCAAGTGTGAAATTATTTAACAAGCAAAAAAATAATAATTTCGCGGAACTCTGTTGACTTTTCTACGGAACCCACTTTAGGAATCTCTGTTCTAGTGCATGGCATTAAAGTAAATAATTCCCTCACAGCGCTTATTTTTTGGCCGTCGAGAATGCTGCAGTGTAAAACAGAAGCCTAAATGCAGATTTCTAAATACTCGTAATAATTTCATTGCTATGTCGTGCCCAACAGCCTAAATCTGAGGAAGTGTCGCTGCATCAACTATATCTTGTATGTATCTAACATTACAACCATTCATTCTCGGAACCCAAATATTATTATAAGCAGATTTAAGCCTGGAGAGCAATGAACGCTGAGACATAACTTCCGCTTGCGTGTTTAATAATGTACATAATGATATACATACATAAATATGTATATTATAAAGAATAATTTATATAAACGGAAATGTTATACTAAAATTTTAAGTACTAATAAAGTTGTTCCAGATGCTATACGTGTTGCGATAAATATTCAGCGAAGGGCCGTAGGAGATCATTTAGTATATAGAATGTGTCCGGAATATGAAGGAAAAAATCCAAGACGTTTCTCTTTGTACCTACACGACAAAAGATAGTTTTATGATATTTGTACGAAAATTAATAGAATCAGGCGTTACTTTGCGGAAATCCATCATAATAACGATGCTGTAAATTGATTACCTTAGATTCGCGTAAAGTCATAACATGATGTGTCTTACGTAATATTAAAAAGCACCTCTCGCCCCCACTCTGCACTATCCTCACCACTGCTCCCAACACCACAACACTAGGAAAGACACACCACCTTCGTTAATACGACACATGTGTCACTTCTAAACGAGGCATCCTCGTTTAATTAAGCTAAACGGTCTGCCATCGCACAGTGTATTCCTCGTGATGATGCCTCGAAACTTGTCGTATTATCGATGGTGGTGTGTCTTTCCTAGTGTAGCGATGTTGCGATTAGTGCTGACGGGGATATTGCACGCAACTGAGAAAGGGCAGGAGGTTCTCTTTAAACTATGTAAGACACACGCCATTTTTTACGCATCTTAGCTAATTTTAAATATCTGTATTTTTTATTTAAGTAAATCTTTCACCAGCCTAGTATATGTTGCCTTTTATGGTATCTTTTTTAAATATATTAGTGTTATCTATTCATTTCTTTTTTTATTTATTAAAGGCTTGTGCTTGACTACAATTCCGTCTGGTGGTAAGTGATGATGAAACCTTAGATGGTAAATCGCAGTCTTAGCCTAACAAAAGCCTATTCACTCTTGCCATGAAGACACACAGATTGTAATCGGACGGAAAGACGCCGGCTAATTATTCTATTCCTTTGATGTACGAAGGGAAGTTCGCTATGCCATTACAAAGCGGGCTATGGGCTTCCGCAAAGTATTCGTTATATAACATATTTTAAAAAGTTCTGAAAAACGTTCCATGTTGGTTATGGACTTATAGCTCCCATGTTTCTATATGATTAATAAAAAATAAACGTGTGTTGGTATTTAAGTACGCACGTAAGAAGTTATACTTCTTTAGCGTAACAAAACAAAAATAACTAAAATAAAACACGTTTTATATATTCGAATATATATATATGAATATTAATGTAACTTCATACTTTGATTATAGTTATCAGTTCTCACCAGTTCTCACGAAAACTTGACAGTTGACAGACCAACTGAAGTAGTCATATTTAGGTTTCGGTGTGCGCGCGCATCGTGAAAAATTGACTCTCATCATTTTCGCAAACGCGCCAAAAGAAGTATAACTTCAAAAATGTCTAACTGTGGTACTTGCAAAGTATGTCACAAAAGGCAACTTGTTATATATTCTAAAAAGTTCTGCGGAGTTTACCATGTCATGTGGGCATACAACGAATAAGAATGTGCCAGATGTGGTACTTGCCTAGCATGTCGTAAAAGACGAATAATGGGATGTTGAATATGCGATGGTATAGGCGACGGGCTTGCCACCTGTCACTTCCTTTACAATTGTCCATCTGAACCCATCATTTTTTGGCTTAACGTGATCTGAGTAGCTCGCTGCTCTTTGAACTCGGCTTGTTCCTTGGAGATTACAAGTGACGTTTTGTTTTGAGGAATCTAAAAAGGTTCCTTCCCCGGTGAGCACGTGATACATTGGAATTGGAAATTAAATGTTATCAATGCAAACGCCTGTTTAAATTTAAGAACAAATAATCCCTGAGCTAACATAGCAGTTGCTTTTATTTACTTTATATTAAAAATATTTGTAAACCTTTTGAATTGATAGTGTCGTGTCGTTGGTTGTTGATATTTATATGAATGTTTTAATTTATATAGAATATTTACATATATAGTTCATTTGTATCATATTATGTATGTATTTGTATTTTTTTATTTTATATAATCTAACATTATTATTACATATACGGTATCTAAAATCATAGATATTATTATTTTATTTTCAAAATTCAAATAATAAATTGCGCTTGCTACTAATTCTCACCACACCCAAGGTTGACTGGTAGAAATGCCAATATTCCGCCCTTTGTAATCTCTTAGATGATAAGGTGAAATAAATAACAAGTTAATAAATACAGAAACAAATAAAAAATAAATAAATAATATAAATTGACTTTTTTAAGCTAATAAAAAACGGTAATGTAATAAAAAACAAACCCCTAAAAGTACACGCGTCTTAATTAATGATAATGCAGGTAACTTTATAATTAATAAACAAACTATGTAAAACGTATGCATTTAAGTAACGGAACAATAATCCAGAGGCCTTACTCTATGATAATATACTAGTTATTAATTACGGGACGTCAATCATTCTCGAAAGAAATTCAACAATGAATGTACAACTGTGTAGCGATACAATAGAGTTCTAAAGTTACTATCAACATCGAAAAGAAAGCAGAGCCAGGAGGTGAATGCTCCGTACGTTTACTTTAATTTAATAAGATACTTTTTCGTCACGCGATTGAAACTATAATTATTACAATAATTTCTCTTATATTAAGAAAACAATTACGATAGTATTATGAGTAACTTTCATGACAATGAATTCAATTAAAAGTCAAAGACGCCCGCTCAAAAACGATGTGTGATGAATCCATGCAAGTATAGCAAGGGTGTTAATGTCAATGGAGGTGAAAAACAAAAAAAGAAAATATATCTGATGGGTTAACTTTTAGTTAGCAGTTAACAATTATTTAATAGTTAATACGGTCTCCTCAAAATCTATGCATATTAATTACCCTATTCTGAAACCTTACCTGGAATGCACCGTTGCCAGTTTTGCGGGCACATGATCTTCGTTTTTAATTTATATAATTACTACGTGAAATACCATACCATCATAGGATTATAGTTCTATATTGTTGTGGCATTGTCTGTTCGACCCCCGTGGTTGAGCGCGACACGCAATCAAACGAGGAATTACCACATATATAACTAATAGATAAAAAAGACATCTATGTAAAAATTTATTACTTCAATTTCATATAAAAAGAAAGAAGAACGGGCTAACAGCAGCCCAATTTATAAACAACCTAGAATATCGATAAATCCACAAAAGATGACGTATTGTAACAAGGAAAATGCTCAAAAAAATACGTATGTTATTAATGTTATCATAATAAATATAATTAAAATTATTTTTTTAAACTTGTTCAGATTTTTGTGTTTCATTCGCGATTGACTAGTAGGGACGGCGTCAATGCACTGAGTCACTGAGTTCGCCATACATTTTTGGTGTAATAACTAATAACTTTTTTGTATTTGAAACAACATTTTAAGTCCTCAGGGGTGACAACGCATCTGCATTTTGATTCTTAATCGAGGATAGATGGAGATGTCTATGGGCCATGTCATCCGCGTACCATAAGGGGGACTGTGTGCTCGTTTAGCACTCTTATTCCATAAAAAAGTGTAAATAGGAGACGCCCATGTTCAGCAGTAGAATTTGAATAGCTAAAGAAGAAGACGAATAAAAATATTTTAAATTATAATAGATAAAGAATAAAAATATATAATAGATAAATATTGCAATATATAAACCTACCTTCTTGCTCGGTCTGTATGCTGGCCACAACGCGGTCGTTGCCACGCGCCGCCTGCCTGGCCTCCTCCATCTCCCTAGCGGCGGCTGCGAGGATGTTGTTTACAGCCGTGTGGGTCCCAGGCGTGTCTTCTCGACGCCGTCGTCGGATCTCCTCTGCTCGCATCATAGACTGCTGGTACATGTGTATCTGGGGCACAATCGAGTTAGTCAATAAAGTTAAAATTATTGTTTTTTTTAGCTTAATTTAAATGTCACTTACACGCGATTATTCTATCTATAGACAAGTCTCTAAAGAACGACCTATGCGGAGAAACCATAATAATCATCATCATCGTCATCATTACAGCCTTTCACAAGTCCTCTGCTGAACATAGGAATACTAAAAAGCAAGATCCTGAGCCACCTGCATCCATCGACTTCCTGCATCCCTGATAAGATTGTGAGGCCACCCTACACCTCGCTTATCGATACGAGGCTGCCACTCGAGAACCTTTCTTCCGAGAATGTTTTTCGAGCTATATAACCGGCTCATTGCCACTTCAGCTTACTGATCCGTTTTGCCATGTCGGTTACTCTGGTTCTACTGTGGATATCCTCAAAAATAGCAAACCGAAATCCTACATACATTAGAGAAATAATTGTAAGGAGTTATCTTAACCAACCCTCGTTACAACATATCCTGAGTATGTGTATTTTTATAAAGACCAACGTTGAGCTAAAATGAACTGCGATAGCTTACAGTTACCAGGCTGACGATCTAAATTCTAAATGCACTACCCGGTGACTTATAATTTACAAATAAATAAAATTGAAGTGTCTGTTTGTAATGTTAAAATAACAACTTTTTACTAAATGCATATAAAAGTATACGAGTATACGGTACTAAAAACAAAATAAACCATTTTTAAAATGTTTGTCTGTCTGTTTGTTTGTTCTGGCTAATCTCCGAAGCGGCTGGGCCGATTTTGACGGGACTTTCACTGGCAAATAACTGATGTTATAAGGAGTAACTTGGGACACGTTTATTTTAGAAAAAAAAATTAAGGTTCCGCGCAAAAAAATTAAACCCCATAAACTCGTAGTAAATTCCAAGCGGGCGAAATCGCGGGGGACAGCTAGTAATTTATAAAGTGAGGCAACCTGCGTGTGCAATTATATTATTTATTTCTATAGGCAAGTGTTCTTCCCCATACTAATGCAGTGCAGCGGGCGCTTCTTGACTATTATCTCTAACAATTTAAAGGCCAATGTTTTACCTGTGCACGTTTATACACTGTTACTTTATTTAACAGAACTTTCTGGCGATTTTAATGACTGGCGACTTGATGGCATAATTGATATGGTTATCACTTACTTCATCTCACCATGGGATTTTACGTAAACATAAAAACAATGTTTCTCAAACATTTTCGATCTATCGCTAGTACTTGCGCTTTGACTTTGCGTGTGATGTTACAAAAACTTTATTATATATTGTTTATAAATAAAGCATAACTTTATTATAACAATTAAATTTTACCCGCGACTTCGTCCGCGTAGGAGTTAAACAAAAAACCTGTAAATCCATAATAGGTCCTTAGGCATGTAGCACAATCATCGACAGCCTTTAAGTTAGAACTTCACATAAAAAATAAAATATATTTCATTACAATCGGTTCATCCCAACAGACGACAGACATTATATCTACACTGTTCATTTTTGACATTCTTCGCTCCTCTCTTCAACTCTTTTTCGTTAGTATAATTATTAAAAATACATTTTTAATCTGAGTACAGATGATTTTTTATGTGTTTTAGTACTTATCATCATACAATAATGATGTGAATATTTAATGGAAACAAATATATTCATATTTATTTCTTATTTATTGATTACCCTTAGGGGTGAAATTTTTTCTCCAAATTTATATGGGACCACCCTTTTAGTATTATAACCTATATATAAATATATATATATATATATATATATATATATATATATATATATATATATATAAATATATATATATATATATATATATATATATATATAAAAAATAAAAAGAATAATATAATATAAAAAGATTCATCAAAACTGGTTAACATTCTGCGAAGATATCGCGTATACAATAAAAAGAAGAAAAAAATCATACACTCGAATTGAAAACCTCCTCCTTTTTGGATTAGGTTAAAGGAATAAAATAGGCTAGTTCAAGTACTTTATTTTTGCGATTTTTCCCCTATATAATTTATTTGTAAATGAATTCTAATCATCATTTTATTTTGTACCATAAAGAACCAATTTTATACTGTTTAAATAAAATCTCATGCTCAAATGAACCGACCTCAAGTATTTTTTATACAAAGGGAGACAAATAAGCACGCATTCCAGAATTTTAAGTGGATGCTGTGGTCCAAAGACAACCGTTTAGGAACCAAAATAAAGGTGTTTGTCATCCCCGAAGATTTAGTCCTCATCGCTTACCATACAAAACAGCAGGATTATGTTATTTTTTTACATTGGTACTCTGTGAAAAAGGCCTTTTTCCCAAGATGTGCCAAGCCATGAGTGTTTCAGCTGTAATACAGATGTACTTTGACTTTATCACGTAAAATGTGTATAATGAAATAAATAAGAACTGAGAGTACACACCTCACATGACGGTAAGGGTACAAACAAACAGACACATTTGATGCGATTGCAAATATAAATCTAGTCACGCTGCTGTGGCTCCAATTCAACCACTCCTACAGATACATGTTTGCTTGTTACCTAAGTATTCTTAACTAGTTATAAAAACTAAGGTACCTACTAATAGCTCTATGCAATTAATCACGCTAGAACAGAATGAAAACAGAGCGTGAACCGGATGTACCCGTGAGTGCGGAATAAACAATTTGATAATTTAAAATTTGATGACAATCTCACTATGAAATAAAAAACTGAGAATTCTAACACATTGAATTGTAATTTGAAAAGCTATTTTTGGGAAAGTATTAATGAAGTTGAATTGATGAATGGAAGGAACAGATATAGATAGATATTTTTATTAATAACTAGCTGGTACAATGCACGTAGCAGTCGCAAAAAAAAATTGTGGAAAATCGATTTGGAAGACTGTTTAATCAGAAATGATAATACATTCATTGAAGTTGTCCGTAAGATACGCGCGCCACCTAGTGTAAGTTAATTGTACTATGCCTATAACCTTCGTGCAAGTGCAAGCAATAAGTTGACAAAGTTTTACCGCAATCTGATGAACGGTATGGCAGCGCATAAAATACGAACAAACAAAAATCAATTTTTATGTTAGAGAATTTCATTCAGATCGAATTTCGGTTGCGCCGACCAGTCTTAACGGAGGACTGGTCGACGGAAAGCCATCTTTGCCAGGGTTATAATTGTACTCTTATTCCTTCACTCGCATAGTCCGATGGAACAGCAATTCAACACGAAAGGAGCGAGATAAGGCACAGGACCAATTGTCTTAACTTGCTTTCAGAGCGTGTATTAAGCGTGAGTTAAACTATTGAGAATTTCCTTAAAGAAGAAACTCAATAATTGATTTTGACTCAACGCGGGATTTGAACACGTGACCACATGATCAGCTGGCGCTTACGACCACTAGACCAACGTGGAAGGACAAAACTTTTCTCTAAAGATGTGTTATAAGCAAACTACCACACAATCCACCTTATGGCACGTTAATCATAGATACTGCTGTAGTGTCTCCGGTTGTCACCACATGCCATACGGAATACACGAGTATTATGATGCTTTCTTGGTATTCTGTAAGAGTGTAGACCTTCCTCAGACCACTCATTCTTTCTGCTAACATACTACAGCTGCACGCAATAAAAATGATTTTCTCGCTTTTAAATAGGAGGTTCACAATTCGACTATGTTATTTTTAGTGAATTAAATATTTAGTGTAACTGTTGAGACGACATTGTAGTTGTTACTCTGTGGTCGTTAGTTAGTTGTGTTAGTACAGTAATTTAAGAAAAAGCCGACTGCGACTTTTTTTTTATGGATAAGATTGACAAACGAGCACACAGTCCATCTGATGGTAAGTTAATGCTATGGCCAATAGACATATACTCGTACATTTATATTCAATTGAGAATCAAAATGCAGTTGCGTTGTCACACCTGGACGATGGAATAACTCGTTTCCAGTAAAAAGGGTCTCCGGTTCTCTATACTCACCATATGAAACACAGCAGTATTAAGCTGCTATTTTACGTTGGACGTTACAGTGAGGACGAGTCCAACGACACCCCATGTGTTAAAATCCATCAAACCGTTTAAGATACCTACAGTATATATCAAAGAAATAGACATGCATACGTATTACATACTCGAAGAACATTATCCTCCTTCTAGGACAGTGGGGTAAATGAAAAAAAAAAACTAAAAAAAGAATAATTGCTACATAATTTAATATATTCTGAAGTCGGTGTTAATGCACAGTACATCAAAGAATAAAGCGTGAAGCTATTATGTGCAAATTTTATTATTCTTTTTAGTCTTTTGAAGTCGGTATATACTAAGTGTATTATACTTTTAATCTAGTGCTTAACTACGTACTCGCTTGCTAAGCAGTGATGACGTCCTCGATGAAATCGCACTAACGTTGAACGATTTTATCGCCTCTACAAGCCGCCGAAGAAGATTAGTAAATTTTTTACCATCCGTCAAGTGTAATATCCCTTTACAAGATGCAGGAGTGTACAAGCTTGATTGTAAAAATGTAGTCTCTCTAACACTGGCCAAACAAAAAGATCTATAAAAACCCGTGTAAAAAATATATAGCTGACGTGAACGTGACGCTCCAGGAAGTCTGCAATCTGTGAACATGTTCAAAATCGCCTCCGCCATTACATCAGATTTGATAGACCACAAATTCTCACAGAAGAACACCGATTCCTATCAATTATGATTCGCGAGGTTTTTGTAATTAAAAAATATCCTCATTCGAATAGAGAAGATGTATGGGTGCTACCGTTTTTTTTTATACGATAAGGGTGACAAACGAGCACACAGTCCACCTGATGGTAAGTGGTTGCTGCGGCCCATAGACATCTACATCTATCCTCTGTTACAAATCAAAAGTAGATGCGTTGTCACCCGTGAGGACTAAGATGGAATGCCTCATTTCCAGTAAAAAGGGCCACCTGCACTCACCAAGCGAAACGCAAAGGTAAA